TCATGCTGCGCCCGGGCGCTCTCGGGCTGCCGGGGAAAGCGATTCCCCGCCAGGAACACGTTTCCTGCATTCCAGCAGCCCGCGCCGACAGCGAGCGGAAGGAAGCAAAATGCTTACTTTTTTCCTCCTTTCTTTTCCCCGGTGGACGGAGACGCGGCTGACCCCGGCTCCCCTCCGGACGCGCGGGGATTGGGTTACCGCGCTGGCAGCGGGTCTGAGCGGGGCCAGCGCAGCCCCCGGCCCGACTCCGACCTGGGGGAGAAAGGGCGGGACGAGAGGGATCATGTTTAACTGTTTTTTTAAACAGAGGCAATGGCTTTAGCACAGTCCTAAAACTGGGTGTTGGCAAAGTTCATCTCCCGGCCCGAGAGCGTGCAGGCTCCGAGGCGCGGGCTTCCCAGGCGCTTCCGCCCTCCCGGGTCCCAGCTGCGGACCCCGAGGTCCCGCGGGGCTCTGCGGGCGGCAGACGTGAGGGGAGGCTGCGTCGGGCTGCGCGCACTTTGCAGGAGACAGGGCCGGCGCTCACCCTTCCCTCGCCTCGGTTCAGCCTGGTGTGAATCTCAGAGAAGATTGCGTCCCACTGCTGCTTATGAGACCGTGCACTCCGGGATGAAGCGCCTTCCGCCAAGCAGGCGGCAGCCCAGGCCGGCCTCACCTCGAAAGCTCAAAGTGCTGGTCACCTCCTGCCTCACTTCCCACCCAGGCTCATGCAGGCCTCACCTGGATTCTGCTCCTGCGCCTCAGCTCGGGGCGCTCTCTGCCAGCGCGCACCAGGCGCGGGGCAGGTCTCCGCTCCTCGCTCGGGTACCATTTTTAGAATCGTAGCCTGGTGCGATGGCCAGTGCCTACCGTCCCAGCACTTTGCGAGGCTGAAGTTAGAGGACTGCAAGTTGGAACCCACCTTGGGCAACCCAGCAATTTAAGGAGATCCTGTCTCAAAATGAAAAATAAAATTAAATAAATAAATAAATGCGCCCTTGTTCAAGGCAACGGTCCTAGATTCAACCCTCAGTATAGCAAAAACCATTAACTTCTGAGTTATTTACCCCCCACACTTCCACCCGAAAAACATAAAGTACCTGTAGGTCCACAATAGCAAAGGAATATGGAAAATTTTAGATATTATTGAAAACTGTATTTTGCCTTTGTCATTGCTTTTCTCTGGAGTTGGTTATTTGCTCGAAAACCTCCAGAAACTGCATCGGTTATTCGCTTGCCCTGTAGTGCAAATACTGACGTGAAGACAACTGGTTGAAATGTCTGGGACCCTGAACTTTCAGGTTTTTATTTCAGTTCAACTATGTGTTGCACCTGTCAGCTCCACGTTCTTCCTAAGCGTCCCGAAAGACAAAGGTAAATAAAGCCATTCTTCAAGGTTAAACAGCAGTATAAAAAGGCCCATCTGCCTGCTCTGATATACATAAACAACGACCAAAACAAAACAAAACAAAAAAACAAAACAAAACAAAAAAAAAACACCATATAGAACTGGTTATTGATAAATTTGAATCAAATATGAATAATATAGTATCTAAAAACTTTCCAGATCTGAGGATTCTAGAGCCCCCAACAAATTCTTTTAGTTTCTAGGCCTATGTGATTTAAGTAAAATGTCAATGTTCTTGCAAAAATAAAAAAAATTTTAAATACCCTCATCCAAGAAATGTTAATTTATGTATTTTCAGGACGTACAATAAAAATTCAAAGAAATTAGCACCTTTGACTGTGAATATCATGCATCCTATCCCTCCCTAGATATAATTTTTTTACATTGTTCCATACCGATGGTATGGGAAGCACAGTGTAAGGCTGTGTGTTTGTTGATGCAGGGTTAAGGCTCAACCCTGATTGGAAAAAGAGGAAGATTAATGCAGCACCGGCAAAGCATCACCATTCGAAGTTACTTTCTCTCTACACCCTGTGCCTCTATGTATTTTCAGACCCAAAAGGAGTATATCAGGAGGAATCAAGTGTATGCATTTTCTTTCCTTAGCATTTAGAACATTTTTTGGTGACAAACGAGCCCTAATACAAAAGACTTCTGAAAAGGTATCAAAGTAGTACCTGTATTTGAATTTTCTCAGCATGTATAACAATTTCCCTTTGAATGTCTTGTGCCTCAAAAATCAGTATTTTTATTTATGTATTCTAATCAATCACCCATACATTTGTCAAAGATAATCTTTTGTCCAATAATTGTCTTAGCTTGTCTGGTCTCAGTCCATACTTGTCTTGGTTACTTTTTTCTCGCTGCTGGGACAAAATACCTGACGCCTGAAATTAAGGAAGGAAAGGTTTATTTTGCTTACATTTCTTGGAAGTTTCAGTCCGTACTTGGCAGATTATAAGGCAGAGTGGCACATGGCAGAGAGCTAGCGCTCAGGGCGGCAGCACACAGCTAAGCTGCAAGCACACACCAGGGCAGAATGGGGGAGGAATGTCCTCAAGCACTCTTTTCCTCTCCCTTATGTATGCAAACTATCCACTCCTGGGCGGGTGCAGCTCTCACACCCATGTTCAAACTCTAATAGCCTGCCCCATGGCCGCCTGAGGCTTTGGGGGGACACCCAGACATAAACCATAACAATACTGTTCATCTAAAAAATGTGTAGTCCAGTGTTGTTTTAATTTGTATTTCTCCAATGATCAGCCCTGTTGAACAATCGCTCATGTATTTAATGGTGATTTGTGCTTCCATCTTACTCCAGAAAGAATGACCATCACCAAGAAACCAAATAATAATAAACGCTGGAGAGGCTGCAGGGAAAAAAGAAGCCTTCAACATTATTGGTGGGAATATAATCTAGTACAACCACTATGGAAATCAGTATGGAGATTCCTCAGAAAACTAAAAATAAAAATTTCATTTGACCCAGCTATTCCACTTCTAGGTATCTTCCTGAAAGAGATGAGGACATCATATTGCTGTGAAACATGGACACTCATTAGTACAACTCATAATAAATCTTGAAGCTGGCCTATACGTCCATCAACAGATGAATAGATAAAGGGACTATGGGGTGTACGCACAATAGTACTAGTACTCACACTTACTACTCTATCATAAAGAAGAATGAACTTGAGTCATTTATAGGAAAGTGGATGCACCTTGAAAACATAATGTCATGTGAAATGAATCGGACACACAAGCTTAAATATAGCATGATTTTTTTCATGAGAAACCAAAAATATAAATTTTAAAGCCAAATAAAAGATAATAGGAAACAGCAAGATAAGATTTTTGCAAAGGGAAGGACCAAGAGACAGAGGGAAGGGACAGGGAAGGGAACAGAAGGGGATTAAAAAAAAAGAGTGTTCTGTACGTGCACCGACTTCCTGTGAGGAATGCAATCGTTATGTCCTGCAAATATGTAGTAACAAAGAAAGAAACCATAGTGCAAGTGTCTCGACTATGCCTTACCTGACACGAAGGTAAAGGAGGCAAATGTCTCATGTAAGGAGATGAAAAATGAATAAGCAGATCATAGCAACTTGATACCATGCAGAGTTGAGGCAGATATAAAGAAGGCATAATATATTTATTTCAAGGTTATTACAGTTAGAAGACTTTAATATTGAAACTGTCTGCATGAGAGCTTTTGTTTCTGGAATTCTGAGCCTTCAACATTGTCCTGGACACAAGCTATCCCTTTCTCTTAAAAAAAAAAGTGAGGGACGGGGGAGTTATAAGGTATTTTTCTTCATCAATATGTTACTTCTCTTTCTGTCCTTCTCTTTGTCACCAATGGAAATGACATTTATTCATTTCTTCTGAAAAAAGGATAAACCCTCAAAGGATGATGTAAGTCACGGGTCACTTTACAATAATATTTAATAACATGGAAATAGATGGTGGGTTAAAGTAAGTAAAGTGAATTTCAAAAGATGATCAAGAAATCCTTAAATTCCTACCAAGTTTCAGAGTGGCAATCAAAGACGAATGGTAGTCTGGAAAGCAAGTGAGAATAACAATGTGAAATGTGGGATGAAAACAGGCAAAGGTACTGAAAAGATGTATGAAGTGAT